AAGTTAAACAGAATTATAAACTGTCAGTGGGAAGAATTCATATAGTGAGTTTAAGAGAACTTTTCAACAACTATTAAAAAGCACTTTTGTTTAACACTACAGTTGATTTAACTTAGGAACTAGAATGGCATACTGTCATAAAAGTAGGAAGGATATAATTTCATTTTCCTTTCAACTTGTCCTGAATTCTTGGATACAGGTATAGCACTAACCAAAAAAATAGGCAATTGATTTCCCAGCTGTCTGGGCACAATGTCTGAGCAGGCCACAGCTATTGCTTCTTTTCCCCCATTTTCACTATAATCATTAAGGTCAGACTGCTATTTAGACTTAATAGCTCACAAGATTCAACAAAGCAAAAAGCAGATTGGCTTGGTAGAAGTTCACAGAGTCAACTAAATTCTGAAATTCCTGTCAAAGAAAATATATATATATATATAGAAAAAAGAGGCAGAAAAAGAATTGAAGGGAGCAGGGCATGCAGGGATATTATGGGACACCATGCAAAGTAAGTATAAACAGACATCAAAGAGAGAAAATTTAAACAATCATGGAATATCTTTGCTATCAATTGGACCAAATTTTTAAAAAAATGTTAGTGTCTCAGGTTATGAACAGAGTGGGAAATTGGTACTCATAAATTTTGAGAGGGATTGTTGATTGACATAACTTTAGGAAGACATTTTGACAGTATCTATGAAAATTAGTGATTCAATTATTTTTAGACCTAAAAATTTTATCCCATGTATCTATCATAGGGGAAAAGAAAACCTCACTTATGTGAATTAGGAGGAAGCTATTATGTTATTAGTTTTAAAGTAATAATAATAATCATCAAATAATTAAATCAGTAATCTAGAGGACCATCTTAGACAATTAGCAACATAATTCAGGAGGAAGATTAAACAAATGAATACAATAAAAAAATATAACATTTAAGATAGGTGAATGGAGATTCCACTTAAGAATTAAAAATTTTGCTGTGGAAGAACTAGTAGGAAGAAAAATAATAATAAAAATATGATAAAAGAAAATTTTGCTAATATAACAATAGGACTCAAGTTTTTGCTTTTTCTTGTTTTGCTTTTAGCATACTTCTTTTAATTTGCTTTCTTATTCTTTAGATAAAAGAGCTTAAAACATTCAGAATTCTATTACTCCAATCACTGAGAACAAACTAGTTACACTAAAGTGAAAAACAGATTCCCACATTTCAGTAGCTTACCACAACAAAGGGTCATTTCCCGTTCATGTTATATATCTATGGTGGATGTAGGCAGCTAGAGTCTCTATCTCGGCACTTTTATGGCTGATAAGGCAGGAAAGGGAAACATTGCAAATCATGCACAATCTCAGGACTTCTACCAGAAAATGGCACATAATATTTTGGCTCACATCTCATTGGCTAAACTAAGTCACATGGTTACACTGAACTTCAAGGGATCAGGAAAGACCAATTCTATCAAATATTCTAAGAGGAAATAGATATTTCAAAAACAACATTAAAACTACCATGAGAATGATTTTTTAAATGCTAAGATATTCTCCCTTTGTGATATTTTGAAATTTTACCATAAAAAAATTAAGCATCTAGGAGAGAAATAACTGATTACTCAGAAACAAATAACAAACTGACAACAGACTTTACTTCTACATCAGTGATAAAAGACAAAAGGAAGCTGGAGGTGCAAAAGTTGTGATAAAAGAATGGGTTTTTATTTTCCTAAACCTTACCAGGTGAGGGGCAACTAGCTGAAGAATATAATAGCATGAAAGTGGCTAGAAAGGCAGTGCAATAAGAAATACATATATATATATATATTTCCCAGGTATGTTTGGTCTTCATCCACAGTGCCTGAAAACACTGCAGAGTCTTAAAGGTGAAATGGGTATTTTGTCATGTTAATGAGACTTTTGGACCCCCTCTCAAGAGCAGGGGCTGGAAATTGTATCAGCTAATGGCCAGTAATTTAGCCAATCATGACTATGCAGTAAAGCCCTCACAAAATCCCCGAGAAGAGCTTATCAATCTCTTGGATCCTGCTTTTGTCAGATAGAACTTCCATAAATTTGGGGAACTAGAATGCCTCCACATGCTAATGAGCCAGGCCCCAAGCTCCAGGAAGATAGAGCTCCTTTTTTGGGACTTTTTCTTAGGTATCTCTTCATCTGGCTGTTAACTTGTATCATTTATGGTATCCTTTCTTAAACTGGGAAACATAAGTGTTTTCCAGAGTTCTGTGAGCTGCTCTAGCAAAGTAATCTAATCTAAGGGGGAGGTCAGGTTGTGGGAACCTCCAATCTGTAGCCGGTAGGTCAGAAGCACAGGTAACAGCCTATAGCTTTGGGACTGGCATCTGGAGTGGGGGTGGAGGGCAGTCTTACAGGACAGAGCCCTTAAGCTGGGGAATCTGGTGCTGTCTCCAGACAGATAGCATTAGAATTGAATTCTCAGACACCCTACTGGTGTTTCAGAATTGCTTGGGGTTAAGTACAGGAAGGCCCCCTCCCACACATATACACCCATTGGAATTGGTTCTGGGAACCCAAATGGACTTACACTACTATTACTGCTGTGTATAATACTGTTAATGTTGTATATGAAAAAACACATTGCAGGCAGGGACAGGGATTTTAGAGAAACGGAAGAACTTGTAGAATGGAGCCATTGCTAAGCATTTGTCAAAGGGAAACCGAAGAAGGGAAGAGATAATTAAAGGGTACGTTTAAGCAAATTGATTACTTGAAGTGCAAAGATAATTTGTCTTCAGTCTCTCTATAAAATATTGATTCTTATATACATATGCATATATATGTATATACACATGTATATTATTAATATATTTTTATATATTAATATTTATTCAGTTTTTAATTTTTTAGATGTTTCTTTATTTTTTTAAATTCCTGAGATGTATTTAAAATTTTGAACAGTGTGACTTAAGGAATCCCAGTCCTATGCAGAGATGACTAAATGTGCCCAAGCACTTAAGCCTATCCCAGTGGAATCTAATGTTTGTCCTCTTGCTAAATTGAACTTCCCAGCAAGAAGCTCTCCCCCACGTTGGAGCCTCAGTTGTAGCAGAGAGATCTTACCCTACAAAGTATCCTCAGAACTGCAAGAGCAAAGGAAATGAAAATTTTCACATAAGCCAGGCTGACTTAGGGATCTGCAGCCAACTTTTTTGCCCTTTTCTTCTTACTGACACCTGAAAAGTCAGAAAAAGACTTTCCCTACCCAAATATGTCTTTGAGAAGTCTGGTGACTCAGAAAATTTCACTAACCCAGCTGTGGTTTTCTAAAAATACAGTTCTTGTTGTTGGGGAGGAATTCGGTGCAGAGATGCAGGGAAGTTAGAGTGAAAAAAAAAAGGTGAGGAATTCATTAAAGTGAGAGTAGGAAGGAATGGCAGCTGCCTTGCAGGCAGCAGAGAGATAAGGGAAGGTCACTGAACTCCTGCTTGGCATAGGGCACCTCCCCTGCCAACTCCTAAGCAGTGTCACCTGACATCCAGTGTCTACTTGGATCTGCACAGCATGGGAACTAAGTCCCTACCACCCCAGGATTTGGGGAAACCACAGAGCACTGGATGGTGTGAGATTAGCTTCTGAAAACTTCCCAAAGCAAAGAAAGGAGTTTTCAGGCAGACGACGGAAGAGCACTGCAGTTCTGTCTTGGTCATCCAGGCAACGGAAACTTGCAAGCCCAAATCAGAGCTTTCAGCAGCACCTCCCTACTTACCTGAAGTAGGACAAAGACAGAGTGAAGGCTTGTGCTTAAGCCTAGAGAATAGTATGAAATAGCAAGTAACACAGACACCACTGGAAGAGCACAGAGACAAAACACAGTAAGTTGAGCAGTGAGAAGGCTTTATTCAAGAGTACACGAAGAGAGGGGAATGCAGGCAACCTCAGAGAGGGGAATGCAGGCAACCTCAGAGAAGCGGTGTGCTTAAAAGCCGAGATTCTGTCCTTTAAGGATTTTCAAGAATGGGATTAAGGTAAAGGCCAAGGGAGCATAGGCTTGTCATGTGTACTCATGATGTCTAGTTCTGGTCACCGACAATGTCTTTATCCACAGTCACTCCTTTGGATAATTCTGTAGGATAAATTTCCTGTTCCTCTCCAAGATAGTGGTTACCCCCAAGCACTGGGAACATATCCCTTAAGGCTGCTTGCCTTGCCTTAAGGTAAGTCTCTCCTGTTCTTACTATGCTATTCATATCTTGGCATTTTTTTAGGAAAATTAATCATGATGTTTGTTCCATGTCTTTGCCCTATCTCATCTGCATTAGCTAGAGCAAGTCTCAAGGTCAGCCCAGATTCAGAGCATGTGGAATTAACTCACATTGCAAAGGGCTTTAACTCTGTGAGCCCTTTCTGGCTTCCTAGTTCTATCTGACCAACTCTTTTAAGCCCCATTTAGTGGGCTTTACTGGCCATATTCTCCCTCCACCTGCTCATATATATTTTTCTGCCTAACATTGTGACATTAACCCTGAACACACTACCTCATCCAAAAATCCTTCCTTAATTTCCCAATAGAATTATGGTCATGTTCTCTATGCTTTTCTTATATTTATCATGATTTTTACAACTTTACTGAGGTCCAGTTGAAATAAAATAAGTTGCACATATGTAAAGGTACAGTTTATGTGTTTTGACATCTCCAGAATGCAAATTCATCCCTATAATGAAGCCAGTGAACACTGTCATCATGTCTAAAAGTTTCCTTATAGTAGTTTTTAATTTATCCCTTCATTTATGTTCAGCTCCAGACAACCACAGATCCACATTCTGCCACTATATGTGCACTTTAAAAATCTGTCTTATTTTATTCAGGATATTTTGATATTCATCTACATTTTGTATGTATAGCATTTTTCTTTTTATTCCCAAGTAGTATTCCAATGTAGTATGGGTACATTCCAATTTGTTTTCTGTTTACTTATTTATAGACATTGGAGTTGTTTCCATTTGGGGACTACTATAAATAAAGCTGCTAAGAACACTGATGCACAAGTGATTGTGTGGACACACACAATCTCTTTTGGGTAAATTGGTAGAATGACTGAGTTGATTAGTAAGTATTCAACATTTTAACAAACTGCCGAACTATTTTTCAAAGTGATTATAGTCATTTTACATTTTCACAAGAATTATACAAAATTTCTACTTGTCCAGATTCTTACCAACACTTGTACCAAGTTATTTTAATTTTAGTCATTCTAATATGTGTATAGAGTTGTCTCACTTTAGTTATAATTTGCATTTATCTGATGACCAGTGATATTGAGAATTATTTTAGCTGCTTACCGAACTTGTTTTTTGAGATATCTGATCATTTCTTTTACTCATTTTCTTATTATGTTGTTTGTTTTCTTATTATTGAGTTGTAAAGGTTCTTATATCTTCTAGTTGCAATGTTCTGTGTCTGATATAATGTTGTAAATATTATCGTTTTCCAAACTTTGGCCTGTCTTTTGTTTCTTAATGCTATCCTTCAAGTACAAAGTTGCCAATTAGAAAAAAAATTTATAAAGTCTTTATTCTTTTCTTTTCTTTTATGGTTCATGCTTTTCGTGTTTTATCTAACAATCTGTTGCCTAGACCATGGTTATAAAACTTGTCTCCTACATTTTCTTCTAGAAATTAAGTGATACATTTTGAGTAAAGTTAAGTTATAAATTAGGTAAATTTGAGTTAGGTAGATTAATCAATGTTAATTTCTTTTCCCATGTTAATATTTTGTTGATCCAACAACAACTGCTTTTTAGACATTTATTTTCCCACTGAATTACCTTGGTATCTGTTGAAAAATCAATAGCCATACATATCATGTCTGTTCCTCAACTCACTATTCAGTGGAACTGAATAGTGAATGTGCTTAACTTTTTGCTACTATCAAACTACCTTGACTACAGTCTTAAAGTCAGGTAAAGTAAATCTCCTAATTTGTTGCTCTTTTTAAAAATTTCATTGGTTATTCTAATTCCTTTGCACTTCATATCAATAATCTTATTAGTGTCTGTTAAAAAGAAATCCTGCTGGAATTTTCATTAGATTATTTTGAGTCCATAGATCAACTTTGTGAGAGTTGCTACCTTGACAGTATCAAGTCTTTCAATCCCTGAGCAAGTATATCTCTCCATTTATTTTTTGATTACTCCCATTTTTCAGTGTAGAGATCTTGAACACCTTTAATTATGTTGAATACTAAACATTTTATGGTCTTGGAAACTATTATTAATGCAATTATTTTTAATTCCTTTTTGAAATGTTTACTAATAATCTATAAAAATACATTTGGTATTTCAATGTAATTTTTGTATTCCTGCAACCTAGTAAAATTCATGTATTCTAGCAGTTGTTTTGTAGGGTCCTTGGGATTTTGTACATAAGAAATTACATCATCTGGAAATAATAAATGTTGCTTTTTCTTTTCTGAAACTAATTCTATTAATTTCATCTTATTATCTTATTGCAATGGCTAGGACCTACAGTATAATGCCGAATAGAAGGAGTAAAAGTAGGCAATGATACCTTGTGAGGAACCAATTCAGTCTTTCATTATTAACTATGATATTAAAGATTTGTTATAGGTGACTGTCAGTTTGAAGAATTTTCCTACAATTTTTAATTTGTTGAGCATGTAAATATGATTGTATGTTGAATTGTTTCCAATGATTTTCCCAAATTTATTGAAATAAACTCTTTTTAACTCCTATATTCTGTCAATGGAGTGATTCATGTAGATTGTTTTTTATCAAATGTAAAATTAAATTTGCATTACTGGGATAAATCACACTTGGCTATGATGTATTTTCCTTTTTACATATTGTTGAATTGGGTTCATTACTTTTAAGAATATTTGCATATATATTCATGAAGAATACTGGTGTGTAATTTTCTTTTTTGAGTTTTCTATGATTTCAAAATTAGAATTATGCTGGCCCAATAAAATGGCCCATTTCTTCTAATTTCTGAAAATGTTTCTGTAGGATTGGAGCTTTCTTCCCTAAATGTTTGGTAGACTTCCATAACAAAGGGATGTAAGCCTGGAGTTTCTTTTGGGGTAGAGATATGATATACATTATAATTATTTAATAGAAACAGATATTCAAATTTATTCAGACTTTTTTTTTTCTTGAGCCGATTTTGACAACTTGTGTTTTCCAGAATTTTTCTGCTTCATCTAACTTGTTATGCTTGTTTGTCTAAAGTTGTTCACAGTGTTCTCTTAGTATTCTTTTAACACTCTGTAAAATTTTAACTACTTTTTCATTCTTATCAATGGTCATTTTTATTCTCTTTATTTTTAGAAAATCTAGCTAGTTATTTTATTTATCTTATTGAAGAAGTAGTTTGGGATATTGCTAATTTTCTCTATTAACCTTGTTAATTTTTCTATTTTATTTATTCTTCTGTTGTTTTTATTATTTCCTATATCCTACTTACTTTGGTTTTCCTTTTTTTATTTGCTTGCTTGTTAAGTTGGACCTTAGGTCATTGATTTTAGGTCTGCCTTCTTTTCTACTGTGTACATGTAAAGCTATAAATTTCTTAGTCTTGCTTTTAGTTACATCCCATAAATTTTTATGTTTTTCCCTTGTCATTCATTTCAAAATATTTTCTGATTTTCCTTGTCATTTCATCTCTATTCCATGAGTTATTTATAATTGTAGTGTTTAATTTCTACATCTTTGGATCTTTCATACGTATCTTAGTGTTACTGATTTCTAATTTTAATCATATATTTCTCATAGAACATACTCTATTTAAATTTATGAGATTTACTTTATAATCTAGTTTATGGCCTCCCCTGACAAATATATCATGTGTACTTGAAAGTAAAGTATTTTCTACAGTTGTTGGAAGCAGTGTTCTATAAATTCAATTAGATCAAGTTGGTTGATAGTGTTGTTTGGATCTTCTATTCAATTATATTGATTTTTTTCTAGTTTATCAGAATCTCCTAATGAGTTTATGATTACGGATTGCCTATTTTTCCTTTGAATCTTGTTATCTTCATCTATGCATATATTTATAATTTTTATATTTTCCTATGAATTATTCCTTTTAATCATGTAAAATCTGAGCTTGTATGCCAGTCTGTTTTATGAATTTGTTAAGGGCCAAAGATCATATTTACCCTATGGCTCAACAACCCATAGAATATGTCCAATGTTCATATGATTCCACATGGCTGCACATCACATCCATCTTTCAGACAGAAAGAAAAAAAAATGAAGAAGAAAAACAGAAAATGCCCTTTTCTTTTTAGGGCACACAGAAAGTTGCCACATTTCTTATATTCATATCTTATTTTTCAGAGCAACACACATTAGCTGCAAGAAAAGTGTAGCTTATATTTTGAGTAACCATTTGATCCACTAAAAACAGTCCTCTACTATTTTAGGGGAAGAAAATACTTTTTTTGAAAGGTAGTTTTTTTCCTTAATAAAAAGTAAGTAATCAGCTCAAGATTTAGGAAGGTGATATGTGAATGTATACTCAAAACTTTATCATATGTCAACTTTTTATGACTCAAGTTTTGTGATACAGAGATTATGTACATGTTTTCCTTTATCTTATTCTAAAATTTAGTAACTGGGGGCTCTCTTGTCCCCTCCAGGCGTGAGCCAGGAGCTCTGTCCTCTCGCTTTCTCTCTAAATAAAGCCTCTGCTTTGCTCTCCTAAAAAAAAAAAAAAAAAAAAAAAAATTTAGTAACTGGGACCTGTATAAGGTCTGCAACAACTTTTTGATGTTCGTTTTGTGTTGTTTTTGTTTCCCTGTAAATCCCTAGTGCCTCGCATGACATCAGGTACATACAAAATTCTTAACGTGATTTCATATACAACAGAAATGGATAAATTGAAGAACAAGGAGTAACTCTAAATCTAGATGAGATATTTTTTCTCTAAAGGTCCAATCTTGATACAATTAACATGGGAATCCTAAATTATATTAGTTCACTCATTCATTAGTTCCACAAATTGTTGATAACTAGTTTCCAGGTATATCGCTTTAAACAAGACAAACATGGTCACTACATTTAATTATGATCTAGAAGAAAATATTTTAAGAGAGATAATTAGAAGCTAGGTGGATGCAATTAAGGAAAACCAGTGATACTATTGTAGGTGAAATTATTTGAATATTAACCTTTGCAAATGTGAAATTCCTCAGCTAGTGCTGAGTTTTCTGTGACATTTAAGTGAAACAGCTAATACTAACTAAAGAATCTTAGTATTGGTTGACTGACTGACAAGAACTTAGGAAAATTCAATAATTCCTGGAATTTACTACATAATTCTGATATTTTATGTCCCACTTCTCTTTGGCCCCCTTCCCTTTGAAAAAAAAAGCCTGCTAAAGAATGTTCACACATTTTTAAGCCTCCTCCCAGCCCATGGCTAAGGAAAACTCAAGTATCACTTTATGGCAGCTCCTATCCTGATATGCCTCAAAGAGGAATACCTGATTTCCTAAGATTAACATTGGCAAGATAGTCTTCAACACCATCCTTTCCCAATAAGACCCTGATATTGGCTTCCAAAATCCATTTTCCAAGAATAATTTCTGATGAATGTTGGAGAAGAAAAAAAATGTCTGACAATTAAGAGTGGCATCTGAAGTTTTAAACCATTTCCTAAATAAGGTCCATTAATTGGAGGCAAAATTAATGCGAAACTTCATCTTTGAATTTATCATACCTCCAAGTAATTGAGTTGCTTATACCAGAAAATTGTTTTTATGAATAGGCTTTGGCTCTAGAATAAGCTAAATGTTCAAAGACCAAAATTTCCATGTTGATACTCTTTCTGAATATCTCTATATTCAAAATCCATAGAAACATTGACACAGGGAGTGATTTTCTACCTTGAAATCTTTGTCTCCATACAAAGGAGTCTGGCCTCCAGTAAATGAACCATTCATATAACACTTTCAGGCTGACTTTACTGTCAATCCAGAGTCAGACTTGGATAACTCTCCCTTGAGGATTATCTTCAACATGAATATTCTCCCCAATTTTAGGATCCTGGAATGCAAATTCTCCAAAGGTAACATGATACATTCCAAATAAAGCATCAAATGAGGGCATAATACCTTTAATGAGGTCAACTGAAATTTTTGGAATGACCACAAAGTAACACAATACATGGCACGAATTTATAACATCAATTGGCCGTAAAAAACCAAAAAGCCCAAGCCCCAAGTACTCTGAGAAATATTTTAATAAAATGGATTACAACTCTTTCTCCCCACTTCAGGTACATGATGCTATCTTGGACCTCTTCAGTTTTGTCCCACAAAATGAGGCACTTTATTCTCAAATACGTACGAGAGCTGAGACAGCCATTATCTTTCTGCAAGAAATCTGCAAGCTTCACACAAAGTAAGGTAAGACAGACTTTGGACACTAATGCTCTCCATTTTTTTGTAGACCTTTTCTGAAGTTCTCTAAACCACAAGACACATACACATTGCCAATTATCTGAAATCTAAGCACAACAGCATATATCTCATAGGACTTAAGACAATTTCTAAAATCCTATGCTTCATACCAGGCAGATATGAATCACCTTGCAATCCCTTACAGTGCTCTGTTGCAACAACCTAGCCCATGCTAATACCTCAAATTTCATTTTTGTTCAGTAAATAGACCTTTTACCCCTACTACTTCTTACCATCCACAGCTTAGCTATCCTCTAACTACTCAAGTCATTGACTGCCCATTGAAGGAGAATGGGAGAAAAATTTATAAACTATTTCCTGTTTCCCATTGGTCAAAAGTTTATCCCATGGGATGGTAATCCCTTCACACTTCCTGACTTCATATGCAGGGATGCAGAGAAGCCTTGTGACATCACCTGCTTCAGCATCAACAGGGAGGTTCCTGGGCTGGAGGTGAAGGGTACATGACAGTTATGCAGCAAAGTACATTTGGATTGTGCCCATATATGCTGTTTGGAGTCTACATTAAGTTGATCATTACAATGGTTTCTGGAGATAGAAAAGATGGCCAAAGGGTTCAGAGGTATGCGAGGCCAAGAAAATTTTAAATGAAGTGGAAGTAGTATCTCCTATAACAAGTAAGTTTCACCATGCAAGATAGCCATGCTTACTCTGGTTCACTCATAATTATTTCTAGAAAATGAGACTAACCCACCCATTTGTTGATTAGTATCAATTCATTGAGCCAGTCTCCACCCGTATAACTTTCTCTGCAGAGTGGCTCTCGATCTATCACTGCATTATCTGAGGGAGGGAGGGGAAAGGATATAAAAGGAAAAAGTGTATCATCAAAGGTCACAACTGTTTAAAGTGCTCCCAGGTGAGAACCAAATGCAAGCTGTGAATAAAACAAAACACAACAGCAATCACACCATGACTATTCAGCAGAATTAATCTGGATCAAACTATGACAAATTATTTCCAATGCCTACCTCCTTCCTCTTCACTATTCACAATCTTTGATTACTCCCTTCAGCTTTGTGGGTACCCACTCAAAGACTCTCTGCTGCTTATCTTGCTAACCCTGTTACCCATGTATTCCACCAAATTGTTAGAATGCTCTACAGTGACCGAACATTTCTATGTCCACTTTTGTAATGCTCCTTCCCCGTTCTCCTATCCCCAGTTTGCACTGTACATTAAATATTAACCAGCTGAAGATAGACATGTGGAAAGCCACACTAAACATGAGCCAGCATATTATTTTCATGACTGGATGCATCTGTTGTTTCATCTGCTGCCACAAATAAAGGCACAAATGTTAGAGGAGTCATACGTGGCTATTTGTGATTAAATGTCAGTAGTATAATGGCTCATGTGTGTGCTGTGGTGTCTCTCCAAGATCTCTCTCTTAGGATTCTGGGATAGTTAGCATCATTTCTGCATATTTTCTTTGAATGGAATATTTAACTAGGGTAAATATGGTCATTCTTTTCCTCCACTTAGTGCTGGCAGAACAAATAAGACCCTCCAAATTTATACACCCAATTACTTTTAGGTTAACAAGCTATGAAGTGCTGTGGAAATTCTCCCCTAGAGTTTCATTGTGGGTTAATGGAGAATCATCCAGACTTTCTTCAGGACTATTAGAATAATAAACACCAGGCAGTTCAATCAATTAGACATTTCACCAGAACCATCCTTCAAGTGGATAAGTAATTCAGACCATTCCCCAAGGAAATCTGGCCTCAATGATCTCTATTCTTTGCCAAAATCTGGGTGAGAGATGTGTAAAAATTATTCTTCCATAGACAGAAGGCAGAGCCTGGGGGAAAGGCTCTTGTGGTGCTTGTCTTGGGGAAGCCATGTAAGAAGGACCAGAAGCAAAGGCCTGATGCGGGCAATGGGATCCCTATTTTTCTTTCTTATAGATAAAGTCATAACATATCGCTTTCTTCTCTGAATGGGAAAAGAATATAGTAAAACCTCAGTATTTCTGAATGTATATGAGTAGACGTATATTGGAATTTGGGAGTGCAGATTACATTTCGAACATGCAGAAAATTTTTTTAAAACTTGTGTTTTAGAATATTTCCAAGGCAGTTTTGGAGCTTTCAAATATATGCAATAGATGGAAATAAGAGTGGCAAATTGTTTTCTAATAGAGGTCTTTAGGTACCCTGTTTTTTCACACACACACAAGGATTATTTATAAGTAGCATGTCAATTAATTGCTTGTAAATGGTACTTCTCAAGTGCTAGAAAGCTCTTGAAAACAATTGTTTAAGTATTCTAAATATCTTTCTAGCACACTTACTTATGCCATAAATTATTTAGAATGCTCTTTCTCTATTGCAAGCATAAAGATAAAATTCAGTCCACCTCAAATCAAAATTATCACAATTTTTATTTGATGCTGTCTGGTGTACTTTCTTGCTAGATGATTAGTACTCTGCAAGCCTAGATGCCATTAAAAAGAAAAAGCTTCTACCACAGAAATGAATTTTTATTTCTGAAAGGCAAAAAAAAAAAAAGGGGTGGGGGAGAATATCCCAAATATGACAGAGTGGTTTGACATTTACAATCCTAAAACTGAGATTTTTTTTTCTAATGGTTATTGTGAGGTCACAGTTTAAAATAATGACTAGAACTGCAAAAAAATGGGTGTGTGTGGACAGGTAGTTTTGGTACAGCAAATCCAAATTTTGAATTTTTACTGGCATTCCTATTGACCTAGCTTGATGTCTTGATGTGTATATGTATATACACACACATTTTTTGCAACATTTCATTACTCAAAGAGATCAATAAAATAGTGTATTTTTTCCATTGGAGATGGTAAGTAAGATGATATTCTCATTTTACTGAAGAAAAAATGCATGGTTGTGCATTGCTGGCAAAGGTATTGTGCTTTTAGACAAAAAATCCAAAAGTAAAAGGAGAATGTTTTTAGTCCTTCCAGAGAGAAGTGATACAACTATTTTTTCATTCAACAGTTAGTTATTGAGCACTTATCATATGCCAGATGCTTTTGCAGGTACTGAGGATTATCATGAACAAAATAATGTCCTTGCCCTCATGAAACTTACATTCAAGTACCTATTGATTCTTTTACACCTTTTAACTTCCTAAGTATGACATCATATTAAATGTCCATACCTTTCTACACTTTGCAATACATTTGCACCTGCATTATTCCCTTTGATTATCGTAAGAACCAAATGAACTAGACAATACCTCACTAGCTCCAATATACAGGTAAGCAAACTGAAGCTCAGTCAGATTAACTGATTTGTGCACTGTTACCCAGCTGGTTAAAAGAGCCAGACTCCACCCAGGACTTCTGATTCCACATTTGAGATATTCCAAATACATCAAATAGAATTGCTATTTATTCACAAAAGGAAAAAGAAATACAGTCAGCAGTTATATATTTTCAAATCTCACCTCAAGCCTGTAGTGAATTTTGCACTTAAATGTGCTAGTTTTTGTTTCTACCCCTAACAATGCATCTATCTTCCTCAAACTATCACCCCCTCAGTCTTCTATCTCACAATGTCAAGAATAGGACAGCTATCCAAGCCCTCTTCCTATCTAGGCCCAATTTTTCATCATTAATTCTGTCCTCTTGGAGAAGCACTTGTTCATATGAAAACGTCTTCTTCCAAATAATTCAAGAGAAACATCTCTAACACTAGGGTGTCGGCAGGTATTCTTTCCATCAAAAGTCAAGGGTCCCCAACACTATGTTTCCATGTTAAAAGGGGCTTGAAATAATGTCTAAAGAGATTTTTTTGAGAAGGCAACCTTGGGTGTTTGTATTTTACAGCTAGCATTTCCACAGTAACACTGACATTATGAATACAGGATGGAAGTTTCATTTTATTGCTTAAGGCTGTTATCTGAAGCTATCCCAGATTTAATATATCTGGAATCCACTTCATCTCTCTGGCTTTATTATTTCCACACACTAAACCTTAGCATTTATTTAGGTGGCAGGTAACATTATTCTTGCTAAGAACTAGATCCCATTCTCAAGGGTTGTGGCAACCAAGATGGCTTAAATATTGCATTTTGGGGGCTTGACTTTCCTTGACTTCCAATTCATGGATGAAAAACTAGACATCTGATAGTAACTTATATTTAAAGCCATCAGTACAACTTCCTCAAAATGGGGACATGCTGATTAGCAGAAACTAAAAAATTATTTTTAGAAAAAATATAGACAAAATTTACTGCTGCCCCATTTGGAGCATGTTCTGTGTTTTCTTTTCCCTTTAAAAATCAGTGGCAGGTTTCCTAGGCTCCATGAAATGAGACCCAAGAGTGACACAGTTGAACAGTCCCCACTTGATTACAGCATGTTCTTTTTATGTTAAATGGCTGACATTGCCACTAAGCATTGTGCCTTGTGTTATTGGCACAGCTGGATCTGAAGCTAAAATGCTGGGTCCCTGCACAGCCGGGTAATTTCATCCTAAACCCAGGCAGCTAAACAATAACTAATAATGTGGCCGCGGTTTGATCTGCCTCGAATAAAAGACCGAGCTGTTTACTCTACAATGGAACACGGAACACACAGCAAGATTCGAACACTCTTTTCTTAACCAAATCCTCCCCTCCAGCTTTCACAACAGTGGAAGCAAAACAAGGAGGAACTTTTTCTTCCCAGGAGAGAGGTCTGGAAATAATTTTGAAATTTATTTTTAAATGTGGGGCAATGAGGAAAGGGAGAAAGTTGAGGGAGAGTGACACAAATTGTCTATCAATGTTCACTTATGTATTTTATATTTTAACTTCTTGTGGCATATATGAATTTCTATAACCTCATCATGACATTTTCTCTAAAAATAATGAGCAGACAAGTCCACCTGGCAACAATCGTCTTCCCAATGGCTCACACTCAAGGAGGAAAAGGGTTAATTGAGAAGGCTTGATGACAACAC